TATAGGTCTAGGTCCCTGACTACAGTTCGTCCCACTTAACCTTCACCAGGATCACAGGCTCTTTTTTCCAGAGGAGGAAAATGAACCTCAGAGAGGTTCGAGACGCAAGCCAAGGGCAGCGGCTGAGTACCTAAGTCCGGTGTCTCGGCTCTCGGGGTTCAGAGTTGGGCACCTGTAGGAAGCACATGGACGTGGCTCTCGGGGCAGGTGGACCAACACTGTGCTGAGAGGGAGCAGAGGAGAGATTCATATTGATTTGTACTGGACCCTAGAACTCTCCACCAGGCATTATGGGGATTTGCCCAGCAACCAAATGCTAGTGCGTAGGCTTGTTGATGCTATGTCCACTATTTCCCCCAGTTAATTGACCATGAAGGTTCTTGAGGGCAGAGCTGGGGCCAGTGATTCTGTGAATGGAGGAGGCAAACTGCTTTGTGGGAGTGTGTGATTGTTTCAGTGGCGTGTGCCTGTCTCGCCCCCAAGGCCCTATGTTCTTAAGGCAGCGGCTGTGTGTTCCCCATATTGTTGGGGGCTCCAGGCAAGCTGGTACCCTCAAAGACTCAAAGTGAGCCTGTCCTCCTAGAACGAATTTAGGATGAATGCAGATGACACAAGGCAGCTATTTAAGAATGAAAAGAATTTATATGTACCAACAAGAAAAAAAATATTTTAATTGAAAAAAGCAAAATAAAAAGCAGTGTATGTATTAAGATCCAATTTGTGTGTTTTAAATACACATAGTCATAAGCATACACGCAGACACACACACACACCACAGACCCCCAAACGCAGAGATATCCCACCCCAATACCCCCTATACAACACACACACACACACACACACACACACACACACACACACACACACAAGGTCTTGAAAGGTCTTGAAAGAGGTTTTGAAAGAAACCTCAAACACCAAACTATTAACAGCTACTTCTGGAAAGAGAGAGAGAAAGTAGGGTTATGGGTGACAGACCTTTTACTGCTCAATTTTTGCTATATGTACTTCCATACTGTGAGAATTTTTTACATTGATGTTATCACTTCGTAATTTAAGGAAAGACTGATTTTTTTCAATAATGAATAAAGTCAGCCACTGTGAACATTTCCTATGAATGTGTGACTAAGATTGCAGAATGCCTCGTTGCATCAAAAGGGCCAGTGTGTTGCTTCAGAGAAAGTCTGGGCAGGTGGGAGGAGGGGATATTTGCTTCCTGGCCGGGTGGTTGTAGGGAGTGATGGGGGCAGCCTTAGAAGTCTGGGCTTTTAGCAGCTCAAGCAGAGTTGCCACAGTTGTGGCCTCAGAAATGTAGGAAAGGAGCCACGGTGAAGTAAGCAAGGGTGCCCCTACCGGGCCCAACCTTTTGGGGGAGGAGGGCAGAGTGAGCCAGGGTGCTGGGGAAGGCCAGCCTCACACCCCCAGACTCCATCAGCGAGCCATCCGCGTGCGCGCCCACCAGGGAGGACTGCTCTCCTCGTCCTCCTCGCCGCCAAAGCCATCCATCCAAGATGGATCCCTATATTCCCAGCCACCCAGTCAGATGAACAAGCATCCTCTTTTGATGGGACACAGAAAGTCTCCTCATTCTTTTTTAAACGGCTGTCTTGTGTCACCTTTTACATTCATCCTCAGTTCATTGTAGGGGGCAGACTCCCCTGCAGTCTTGGAGGGATCCAGCTGGCCTAGAGGAATGGGCTTTGTCCTGGAAGGAGGAAGGTCACCTGGAAACATGAGACCTCAGGGGAGGGCGGGCCTGAGTTCAGCAGAGGACGCTGGGCATCTAGGCTGGGCTTTCCAGGAAATGGGGCGCCAGGAGGAGGAATGGAAGATGCTGGGGCAAAGGGGTAAGGCAACTAGTCTAAAGCCATTCGGCCTGGGGTCCTACTGGGGTCACTTGAAAGCCACCTCTCAGCCTCCATCCCCTAACACTAAGCTGTCTGTCCCAGCACACAGATCTGGAAGGCCACTGGACCCTAACCATGCCAGTTCCACTCCCACCCTCCTTCGTCATGCAGATGTCGTGGGTAAAGCCCAGGGACGGTGACCATCATTATGGGAAACCAGATGGTTTGGGGACAAAACTGACCTTTTGCTATCTTGTGCAGGCAGGCGGTGGAGGGTTATAATCAAGAACATGAGCTTTGGAGTTGAAAACAGTTCAGAAACCAGCTGTGCCTCTTCCCAGCTGAGATCTCTGAGCTTCAGCTTCCCCGTGCGAATGGGACGCTAATGATGCCTATTTCTCCGGGCGGGGGGGGGGGGGTTGTGAGGATTGGATGAAATAACAGGAATAAGACATTACCGGAGCCTGCCAAGTAATCTCTCAATAACAACCCCCTGCGAAGGCTGCGGGACAGTGTGGCAAGACTGGTCCAACGGGACCGTGGCGCCACCTTGTGGCCTGCTGCCTCACAACAGCGACTGAATGTCCCTCATATTCAAAGACCCTTTTTTCCAAGGCCGACTGTGCTTGATAGAGCTCGTTGTTGGAATACGTAGTCTGTAATGGTGAGTATGTGACTGGTGTCCAGCACAGCATCTTAGAAGGGTCTTAGAATTGCCAGAGAAACATTCGGGAGGACTCTCCCCTTCCCGCCCTCAGACATCCCCTTCTAATCGGCTGTCATTGCCCAAATACTCCCAGACGCTCCCAGCTTTAGAGGTGAGCAGGAGGCAAGGTTTTATTAGCTTTAGAGTGGGAGAGGGGACGCACCAGCAGGTTAAAACGTCTGTGCTTAATTTCCAAGTGCCTGTCTATTTTCAAGTCCTGTTCTATTGCGATTCCCAGTTGTGCTCAGCCGCCCCTCCCCTCCTGGCGTGTCCTTGCCTTGTCCCCCCTGCGTCACTCAAAACTCGCCCTTTTCTGCCCCAGCCCCACCTAAACCCTAAGCTACAGTCAGCCTCCTCCTCCTCCTACACACTAAAGGCTACCTCTTCTAAAATCACACCCCGGGTCTCTCTGCGCCCCTTTTCCGCGTCGTTCTGCTCCTTAGCACTAGCACACCCCGTATGTGCTCGTTTACTCTCTGGCCCCATTTGAATGGAATCTCCAGCGGGGCAAGGATTTCAGGATTTCTCCATTACTCTTATCTTCAGCACCTGAAACCCATGCCTGGCTTACAGATGGTGCCCAATAATTGTTGATTGAATGAAGAAGGAATGAAAATGAAGGTGGAGTCCGCAGTGGGGAAAACTCATCACAGACTTAAAAATGAAAAGAAAAATGTTTTCCTAAGTAAGGTAGGAAGGGAGTTTCCTAAAGAAGGGGCCGATTTCATGAGTGTGAGACCAGTGCAGACACAGGCCCCTCAGAAGGGCCGGGACCCAGAGTTTAAAGCTCTGTGCTTGCAATCTTGAAAGTTTGAATAATTGTATCTTTGGATGTATGTTTTTTTAAAGTCAAGTCTGATGGGACAATGGCACCTATAGGGGTTTAGAGCCTCAGTTCGTGTGAGGGCCTGCCTCCCGCTCCCAGCTCCCCCACTCCCTAGTGCACCAGGCCCCCTCCAGCTTCCCCTCCCTGCCTGTGCCCTCATGCCCACTGCCACATTCTGCTTCCAGAGGGCCTGCACGTGGGCAAGGGAGAGGTAGGGACCTGTGGCCTGAGGCATCGCAGGGCGGGGCATGACAGAAACTGCCCCCCCAGTACCTTTCTCCCCTCCTGGGCTGGCGGCTCCATGGCATGGCTGGTGGGCGACCCACTGGAGGCCTTATCTTGACAGGGGCGATACAGTAACCCTTATCCAGGTACAAAGAAAATCCCAGCTTGGAGGTGTAAGGATGCTTAGGAATGACCTGTCTGCCACACGTTGGGGCAGTGGGCCTGAGGGGGACATGCCTGGCTGGGCTGCTCCAACCTGACATTAGGCAGGTCTGGAGGTTGGAGGGACGAGAAACTGGGCAAGCACCCAGCCAGGGGTCCCCAGACGCCAGTCACAGGGATCTGTGCGTGTCCCTTATGCTCAGCTTGAGGCACCCTCCCAGATGAGCCACAAAATACAAATGATAGGTCAATGATTTTACACATGCACTGAATCTGCTATTTGCATTTAAAACTGCCATGGCACAATATAAAAGAGTGCTAAACTTCATGCTAATCATTTATAATGTTTTCTTTACTTTAAACATTAAATAACAACACCATAAGCAGAGAGACCTTGGAAGAAAGGACAAGGCTTTTCATGTACTTTTGATGGTATTTATTTCCTGCTTTTTGTTCAAAGAGCCTTACATTTTTATTTTGCACTGGGCCCTGCAAATTATACTCAACATTTATATCAAAGTGGTCCTGTTCGGCTTAATCTGTGGGTATACCCTAAAGCCATGGAAATCAGTTCCTGATTGTTTCGATAATGTCATTTGTCTTTGATGGAACTGCATTATCAACCAGCAATAAAATAGCTAATATTCCCATTTATTATTAACCCTTCATAATTCGGTCTTATTTCATGAAGCCAAAAAGATTAGCAGTGCTAGGAAAACATCACAAACTGTACGGGGCACAGAAAGCCCTGCTGATTCATATTAAGTCCGACACATAAAAAAAGAATCCATCAAAACTAAGTTTCCCTCAAGGGTTGGGTCTGTTGCAACAAGTTTTAGCCTGGATCAGATTTCTCAAGAGTAGCACTATCTAAAAAAAAAAAAAGGAAGAAAGAAAGAAAAAGGAATGGCACTATTAATAGATATTTTGTGGTGGGCGTGGTCCTGTGCATCATAGGACATTTCGCAGCGCCCCTGGCCTCTGCCCACTAGATGCAAGAAGTGCCCTCCCTGCAACTATTACAATTTCTATCTCCAAAGATTGCCAAATGTCCGCTGGGGGGCAAAGTGACCCCAAGTTCAGGACTGGCTTGGATGGATGGGTGAGATGGAGAGTAAAATACCATCACAGCGCTCACGAGTACCAGACGGGTGTTCTCTCCTCTGCCTGCCAGTGCCCACGGACCGCAGACAAAGACGCCCTGAACTAAGAGATCAACAAAGGCAAGAGACGTAAATATAGGAAAACTAAACAATTTTTTTATTTAGTGATAAACAGGTGGTAAATGACGGCCAGCTGAAACACTCTTAAATAGAATAAAAAGGAAGAAAAGAGACATCACAGTGATGAATTTCACAAAAGGTGACAGATTTCCCTGCAGACCAACGGGACACTTTAAAAAAAGCAAGAGGTCACAGTATTCGTGGCCAATGTGTATCCAACTAGGTTCTCTAAGCTCAAGAACATTTAAAACCTTACATCTAGGCACCACAACTGTAAGAACACCACTCAGTCGCGTAAACCTTCTAAGTGCTAATACCTGGGTATTTTTTTCCTAATATTATTTTCCCCCAACGTTTAGAAAGTCATGTTTCATGTTCCAGTAGTAATCACACACAGGATTAAAAGCCCAACCAACCAAGAAAATGTCATTCTTTCTATAAAGAAAGAAAAATTAAAGGTGTGGACATTTTGTACAATTGTTGCAGAACAACCACCAAAGCAATTCCAAAATATCTTGCTCACTATACAGAAAGGCGTGGCTCATAGAACCAAGAATATAAAGCTACAGCAGTTGAATATCAATCTTTAAAGGGTAGGCAAGGCTAAATACTGCACATAGCTCTGGGGCTCTCTGCTAGGCTAGCGCATGCCCAGAATCTGTCTGCTTTTCAGCTGGTAATTTTTTTCAACATCTGACAACGCTTGAGCACGGAGCTGAGCAGCATGAAGCCTTTTCTTCAGGTCTTTGCACTTGGACTTGGAGGTGAGCAGACTCTCAGAATTCTCACTCCTCATGACGTTCTCTTTACTTTCCCCACTGAAATGAACTTTCTTCTTAATTACTGAGGATTGGAGATCGAAAAGTTCTTTAGAAAGAAAAGAGAAAGGGTTTTAAGTTCAACTCCTCCATATTTATCAGACTTCTCAAAAATATTTATTCTTTCAGTTCACATTTGAAATCTGGGGACCTGTGTGATTTTCTCTGGGACAGAAATCAATTCGTTTTTTAACCCACAGCACTGAAAAACAATTCTGGAATGTGCCAAGGAACGTAGTCTGTTAACAACCAACTCTTCTTTCAAGGTTAAGTGCATTGAGGATTACAGGCCACAATGTAAAACTTCTGGAAATCAATGTGATTTATCTCTATTCTTGAAAACAAGTGCTATTCTACCTAGAACATGTAACTTCCACAAAAGTAGGGAAGCAGAATCTCTCTTTTTTTTTTTTTTTTTTTTTTACAGAGAACACCTATTGTTTTGGGTAAATACTCAAGAACATTTATTTCAAAGCAGCTTAATTGAGCAGAAACTTGTTTCAAAAAGAACCCAGGCAAATTCAGCATGGAAACGGTAATTCAAGTTAATGGTGTAGTGAAAAATGTGGATTGTGTCTTTTACATCAAGAAAAATGTACTTGAAGTGGCTACGCTATTAGCTACTGACGGAACTATCTGGGGGTTGGGGACTTGCAGTTTTGAATTCCAGAAACTTTCTATTTTTCCTTTGTGTTCATTTAAAGGAACTATGTTCAAATATTTACTGAGCTCTTTGTATGGGCCATTGTGGACCAAACAAAGGTCCCATTTTCGTAGGAGGAGACAGACCATAAACAAGTAAACAAGCACATAGGAGGAATATTTGAGGTGATATGGGGGGGAATAATGAGAAAGGGAGACAGGAGGGCTGGGTGGTGTTTGCAGGGGTGAAAGTTGCATAATAAGGTGACTTTTGAGCAGAGACTTGGTGCAAGGGAGAAGTGAGAAGCCGGGTGGCTCTCTGGAGGAGATGCTTGAGGCCCAAGAAATGGAAAGGCCCTGGGGTCAGGGCCGGGGTCGGGGCAGGCTGCAGAGAGAAGCGCTGCCTTCCAATTGTCCTAGGACTTCCCATTTCATACATCGTGCCTGTTCCAGCTGCAAAGCACTCAATGGCTTTTAGACCTTAATTCTGTTTCAGAGATGTCCACCTTTATTATCACAAAATCTGTCTTTATAAACCAACAACGTACACTGTAAATCTGACGAATGGGGTAGTTTTAGAAGACAGAAGTGTTTAGAAAAAGAATTTGTATTTCACTAAGTAGAACATGAGTTAACATTTCATTAAATAGACTAAGAGCATTTACAGAGACGCTGCTGCTGACTGGGATGATTTTGACATATGACATTTTCCTCTGATCTGAATTTTGTAGCCCGAGGGCAGGGAGAGGCTATTTTCAACTGTCCTGAGTGCAAAAGGGCACCCACTTGACCCTGCTTTGTTGTTTATGACTGATGTGCTCACTGCCATCAAGTAGCTCCTAGCCCCGGGCGGGGGTGGGGGTGGGGGTCCCTGATTCCTACAGCTCATTCTCAGTGTTCTCCATGACTCGCGTCAAGGTAGATACACCTCTCTCTCTCTCTCTCTCTCTCTATATATATATGTATATATACACCTATTTCTATATCCTGTACTGAAACACATCATCCTGCTCTAGCTCTTTTCAGCCTTTGTTCGAAGACTCTCAGGGCAAGAAGTAAACAAGCTCTTTCCCCGGAGGAGCAGACCCGGCAGGACTTTCGAGAATTCTGGACAACAGGTTTGATGCGTGAATCTCACCCAGATAAAAATGTCTCCTTGCTCTACCACAGCGATCATAATTTCAGCCTATTTTGTCTTTGTGGGTGGCATAAAGAGAAAAGCTGGAATAAACATTCTAAAAATACTGAAATGGTAGGTAGCAATATTGAGAAAAAAGATATTTCCAAAGAGATGAAGCCCAAGTTTTATATAATTCTTGTTTCATTTACTCCCATCACTTATCTCTATAATGTTATTATAACCATCAAACTAACTTAAGTAGGTTTTTCGGTCTGTTCCAGATACAAAATGCTGTCATGCTCACTGAAGTGACCAGATTCTCTCTCAATTCCAGATGGAAAGGACAGCCTTCACCCGTGCTGCCCTCCGTGGTGGGAGGGGGCCATAAGAACTCTGCCTTTCACTGGAAACTTCAGATACGCAATTTTTAAAAGCAACAGAAACACTCTATAAAAAATAATTTGTGTCATAAAAGAAATTTAGAGAAAAGCGGTTTAGTGCTGTGCATCTTCTAACATCTTAAAGAGTAGATTAAGCTGGATGTAGGCTATCTGTGAACTGGAGAAGGCCCGTTAGAGCTGGCGCACTGGTGTGCACACCAGCCACGACTCACAGAGCACAGCGAGGGCACAGGGCCCACAAAGGCAGGGCCCTGTCTGCACACGACAGCGAGGAACACGAACAGCGTACGGAGAGACCAACCAACCGAATTTCGACAAACACACGTTTCAACGTGAAGGAGTCTTAGCAAAGATCCAAAAGTGATGGCTTATTCTACGGTCGGGTTATCACCCCTCATAAGCCATACTTTCTGTAAAGGAGGTGGCACGTATGATCTGCTCACGTGGCAGGAGTAAAATGCTGGGATTTCTGCTTGAATTGGAGAGAAATGTCAAGTTTTGATAATATACCTAGAGAAAAATCTGAAATGCACAATATTTTTAAGAATGTCCTAACTTTTAAAAACAAGTATCAAAAAACACACAGTTTGAAAGGGAGGTGAGTAAAATTGAAGACGAAATCATGACGACTCATTGCCTCAAGTCTATGAACCCATGAAGTAAATCACTGCTATCGCAGAATCATTATTTCCATCAAAATGTGTATATTCAATTAACTCCATCTTAAAATGGGAAATTTCATCAATTAAAAGGGCTACCAAAGCCCCCACGGCGCCAATACTGGTGCCCTTCCTTCATCTGTGGGGCTTCTGTTGACGGAGCCGAATCTCATACCTGGACCGCTCGCCAGACACAGGAACTTCTGCTCCTTCAGGAGGCTGTAATTCTTCAACAGACTTTCTGCCCTAGCCAGCTTGTCCTCTGCCAGTCTCTCCCGAACACAAAGCTCCCGTTCCTTCTCTTTAAAAAGGCAAGGGGACAAGAACGATGTTAAGCAGAGGCTGCGGATAGAAGACAGTTCACATTTGGTCATCGCGCCGCTTCCCATCACTAAGACTAGCACACCTCACCAGTGCTGGGAAAGTTTTCTTACCAGAAACCCCGGACAACCTGTTGTGCTAGGTTTTAACTCAGCACTTCAGTGTGTGGTGTGCTGTCTTAGGCTTTCTCGTAAGGACCCATTTAAGCACAAACACGAAGTTAGTATTAACCTTTGGTCATGCTGTCTGAGAGGAACTCATTTGGGAAAGTAAACAACTAAAGTCATCTCTGCTCTCTACTGAGAATGGGCAATGGTCCATTTTCTGGGCATTACTGGACCTCACGGAACAAACCCTCCTTCTTCTTCTGGGTGAAGAGAAAAAAAACACAACTCAGTTAGGAGGTACTTCCTTAGATTAGCAACAAAGGCCATTTTTTAATCCATGGCCCAGAATTCAGAAAGTTCAGATTTCAGTTGCTGTAAGAAACTACAGAACACTGGGGAAGGTTTTAATAAAAGATTTGTTTGTTTTATAAATTCTTTTGACAGAAGCATCGAGAAAAGGTTTCTGGGTAAGCACAGGTTCTACTTCCGCAGAAAGCGTATCTCAAGGCACATACGACCGTCATCAGGAACGGCCGTCATCAGGAAGTAAAAACAGAGACGTATGCGTTGGATGCTTTGTAAGTTCATTTAAACAGAAACGTATCTATAGTCCGCATTGGGCATGAAGCTGCAGAAGCAAAATCCGGTGACCTGCGAGGGTGGCAGGAGACGGTCGTAATTCCCTCTTTCGTCCCTTAATGTTGACAAGAAGCCTCACGGCTGTTACTACCCCGCATCGGGCGAAAACCTAGGTAGCGGCTCGTACTTGAGGAGAGTAGATGACTTTCAACATCAAGAACTCATTAGCACCTAATCAGTTAATACTCATCTGAGTGTTTTACGGACCCAGAACACCTTGCGCTCTACTGAGTTGCCCGAACGTATCGAGTCCTCCACGCGACAGGATTTTACACCTGGACTGTGCTGGATCAGTCACAGCAGAAATTGAAAGTGATGGCTTTTATTATGGAGGGCAGCAAATGCGAAAACCCTCTTTTACAATGGGAAAAAATTTTAGGGTATAAACATATGAAGGAAGGGAAAGAAAAAGTAGCTCCGCAGGAAAGTGTAATGGCTACTGCGTTAGGGTCATCACTGTCAGTAACCAACGGTCCCAGCAACCGAGCTCAGGAAAGGAGTCCCAGCATGAAGGTGCCAGCACGCTTCATTTACTATTTTACAAGACATACTTTGACTTCTCAAGTATTTGTAAGAATGTTCCAGTAGAACATACATGTGTCAAATACTCCATTCAAACAGAGGTCACACGCATCAAAAGAACCCTCCGTAGCTCTCCGGAGCTCTGCCCCCATTTGGACTTACGCTCCAGCCTTTCTTCTCGAGCTTTGAGGGCTCGCTCTCGTTCCTGTAGCTGCAGTTCCTTTAGTTTCAGCTCTTCCAAGACAGGGCTGGAGTCCTGCAACCTCTCTGGTTCTAATCGACGCCCTCTTCTCTCGGGATTTCTTCTTTGCTCTTCTGCAACCAAGTCTGCTATCAAAGGATTCTCAAGAATTTCTTCAACAGAAGGTCGGTGGTAATCCTGGGGAAAAAAATGTTCAGTGTTATAGTCAGATTTCATAACACGATACTCATCCTAAAAGAGCAGGTCCATAAAAAACGGCATACATTTCCAAGACGAAAGGAAGGACTCCTTTATGGATGGGTCTTAAAACACCTGGTAAGGTTAAGTTCACTGGGGGCCTTAATTAACCCATGAGGTTCTGGGTCCACAAGGTAATGCAGATGTGAGCTTACCTTTGTTCCCTCTTAGCCTTTCTAAAAAAAGTTCAATTCCTGAGCTGCTGCTTGGTGGCACTGCTAGGTCTGCTCTAAGGCACGCCCTGCCCTTGCATCTCTACTACTACTTTAAGTGAGATCCTCTCTCACTGACCTTCAGTCCTGTTAGGTCACCATTATCCTTCTTTGTAATTCTACAGCATTGAACTGCTTTACATCCGCCTGACCCGAGGACATCTCCCTCCCCATCCCATGGCCAGATTTTTTCCACCTAATCTCTTTATTTCCCCTCGATTCTTTCTAGCCAGCCCTCCCCCACCCCATCTCTGGTCTCTAATCTCTGATTTGGAGAGAGAAACAGGGTAATGAAGTCATTCGTGGCCCCTTCCCTTGCCACCTGCCACACTGAGGTAGACAAGGGAACTGAGGATTTGGAGCTTTTCTGCAATCTTGCTTTGCTACCAACCATCTGTTAGCAGGGCAGAGAGAGGGAGGAGACATAAAGAGCGCACAGAAGGTGCAAGGAGGCACAATTTGCCAAATTTGCCAAATTTACATGTTTCCACTCATGTTAACAGAGTAGATTTAGCTAAGGAAATACAGCTAATGCTTCTTCAGTCTCAATGCTCCAAGAGAGAAAATATACTACTCCACAATGTAATTGAGAGATAGAAACAGACAATATAATCTTATACTCTTTACCTTTAAATTTAACATCCTTGTAATAATGTCATTCAATTCATCAGAGTAACGATAGGGAATTCGCCTGAATTTGCCTTCTCTAATCTTCCCAGCTAGTTCTTTCTGGTTGAAAGCTGTAAATGGAGGCCTGGGGGAAAAATGTTTTTAATGGAAAAATGAAAATACGGAATAGGAACCAAATCAAAAGCACAGTTTAAGCTCCAGTTTGTATTTATGCTTCTTCTGGGATTGTCTTCCTCAGCTAAGTTGCCCAACCTTGGCATTAGACATTTAGGGTCATATAATGTTTGTTAGGGGGGCTGTCCCATGCATCCTACTATGCTTTGCAGTAATGCTGGCTTCTATTCATGAGATGCCAGTAGCTGTCCCTAGCTGTGACGTCCAAAAATGTCTCCAGACATTATCAAATGTCCCATGGAGGGCAAAATTGTTTCCCCATTCCCTGGCTGAGAACACTGCTCTATAGTTTAGAAGGAAAAAAAAAGGAAAAGAATGGGAGCTCTTTCTTGTTCTCCAGACCCCCAGATCTCTCCCCCAGATTTTTGTTTCATTTCCATAGGCCTGACCTATGTGCTCTCCCCTTGAGCTAAGCATCAGTCTAGCAAGGGATGCATCTAGCCAGGTTAAAAGTGTGAACCAGCCTCAGGGCTGGTTCTAATTTGCAAATAATTTTTTAACCTGTCCATCTATCTTAATTTTAACACAAGGTATGAGTCTTTCAGACTTGAATACATATGGATGCTCAAAAAGCCGAACCCAGTGAAAGGTGACAAGCCTCTGTGACTGCAAACTTCAGACCAGAAATCTGTCTTCATCATACTTACATTAATGCACACAATTCATACAGCAAACAACCTAGTGACCAGATATCTGATTTCTCATTGTAGGACATGCGATTCATTTGTTCCTAAAGGGGAAGAAAAGGGTAAACATGTAGGAAGAGTTAAAAGTTTATATTGTTTTAAAACTTACAAAATGACATGAGACAAAAATGGAAACTTTAAGTTTGGTAATACTGACCCGGAGCAAAAAAAAAAAAAGGAAAAACTTTTATATTATAAATATTTTATATCTGTAACAAAAACATCAAATGCAAAAGGCTCATTCAGTTTATGTCAGATCTTGTATCATAATAACAAAAGATAGTACTTTGTATTTTATCTTCAAATTTATAATGGAGAAAAGGTAATGATCTTATCCTTATATACTTTGTCCCATATAAACCAATCGCTTATTTTTCATTCACAAATGTTATTGTGTTACAATAGATCAGGAGCTGATAATTCAAACCTCTACCCTCAAGACATTCATAATCTAGAAACTCCATTTTAAAAGAACCAGAGAAAATTTCAGAATAACCAAAACATATATCTGGCCCACATTTAAGTGATATAGACATAAAATGGCTAATTGAATTATCCATTTTATATATTTTCCCCTTAGTCCACAGTATAAATCACAGTATCAACTACGATTCTCATTTTCTAGCTTAATCATTTGCCTGTCTCCCACACATACAGTAATAGTCTACCGTAGTTCTTATTATCAAGAGGGCACAGAATCAAGTACCAAAACCTTCAGGAAGCTTCTTAGTGTTTTAAATTCCCAGCAGGTAAGTCTGATACCACTTCCTGACAATTAATGCATTAGGGAGGGCTGCACTGATCTGATTACAAGGGCAGGAGGGAAAAGGAACAAAAGAATTACACAGGTTTCAAATTTTCCAAGAACCACTTCTGGATAATTTTCCTTTATGTTAAAGGCTTTCTATTTGGAATCTGATACACTGAGAAAATGACACAGTTCTGGCAATGTCTAATCTTAGTCAAAAACAAAATTGTTAATTTGCAAAGTTTTATACTATAGTCAGATTGGTGAAAATAACTCAAAAAGATCTGGAAAATCCTGGAAATGTTTATGAACGGCTAAAAAAAAAAAGTGTATAAATCTCCATCTTGATCTGCTGAGATTTCATAGAAAACACATCAGTGATAGCACATACTGCTTCAAGCTTTTCAAGAGCCACCAGGTAATATCTAGAGAGTCATAAACAGTTCATATCCTTTGCCCTAGCAATTTTGTTCTGAAAGCCACATGCCAAGGAAATAACCAAAAAGGAAGAAAGAACAATTCACACAAAGGTATGCAGAGCAGGGCTCCTTAGAAGGGTAAGAAGTGTTGGAAACAAAATATCCAGCAACAGAGGGAAGGGATACATAAGGTGGGTGGGCTTCAGCTCCATTGCCGGAAAAGGCAACAACAAAAAAAACCCCACAAATACCAGGAGCTAACACTATAAAAACATGTTCTCTGAATGAGATCTGAATCTGCATGCACAAGAATCATCTAGAGAGTCTGTTAAAAGGCAGAGTCCAAAATGAAAAGTGGAAGGGGGGTGGAAGGAAGCAGAGTGCAAGAACTGGGTTTGGGGCTCAGGACTCTGCATTTTAAACAAACCCTCCAAATAAGTCCAAGCTGGTGTACAGGATCCATGGCACTTTGGGAAATGTTGCTCTTGAGGCCAGAGACAAAACCCATTTCATCTCTGTAATCCCAGCATTTGGCACATGAAACTCATCCAATAAAAGCTTCTCTGTAGGGGCGCCTGGGTGGCTCAGTTGGTTAAGGGTCTGACTCTTGGTTTCAGCTCAGGTCATGATCTCAGGGTCCTGGGATTGAGCTCTGAGTTGAGCTCTGCACTCAGCTGGGAATCTGCTTGAGATTCTCTCCCTCTCCCTCCACCCCTCCCTCCACTCATGCACTTGCATGCTCACTCTCTCTCTCAAATAAATAAATAAATCTTAAAAAAAAAAAAGCTTCACTTTAATTGCTCATATAGAGGAATTTAACAGTCTGATGATCCATCCGGAAAAATGTAAATTTAAAATGAGCAAAATTATTAATTCTTGGCTATTGTGTATTACTAAGCAAACAAATGAACAAAACCTCAATTTTCCTGCATTTGAATGCTTAGCATTAGGATGTTTAAAAAGTATCTAAATTCTGAAGTACTTACAGGAGACATGTAATAGGGTGTGCCAACAAATGTTTTTGCAAAACTCGTATCATGGTTTAATATTCTAGCTAGCCCAAAGTCCCCAAGCTTAACGTTTTGCTTGCCATCCAAGAAAACATTGGCTGGTTTCAGATCCCGATGCAGCACGGTATGACCACCATCGCTTCGTCTGTGACATTCCTTTAGGGCCAGAGTCAACTGAGTCATCACTCGAAGAACAAACTCTTCATCTAAGTATTGTCTGAAACCAAAGCAGTTATATAGCATATAACTTCTGAACAAAACTGTTAAAAAGATGGGATAATGTGAAGTATCTAGTTTTCAAAGTGTACAAATAGGGAAATAAACGCTTATTTTCAATATGAGATATGGGTGTTGATTCACCAGAGATTTTCTAAAGTACCGAGGACCCACTAAACAAATACGAGAACAATCTCCTACATTACTAAGTACTTCATCCCCAATCCTACAACAGGATGCTTAACAGAAATGAAACTTGGCCCATTCTCAGCTTAAGTTTAAAAGATTAATTTACCTTTCCTTTGTTCCCTTTGTAATTACGCTAGCCAGGTCCCCTCCTTCGCAATATTCCATTACAATGTACAGTGTTGTGTTGGTTCGGTCAATAATTCGATCATAGTAACGGACGATGTTTGGATGTTTCAGTTCTCGGAGTAAATTCACTTCAGAAACAAGCATCTGTTTCTCGGCTTCTGTCATGGAGCCATAGTCAAGCTCTTTCCAAACTAATATCTGAAGTAAGAATTTCCAAGGTATGAATGAACTCACTGTACTCAAAGACAAAGAATGAACATTCTAAAATTTAAAAATTTTTAAAAGTCACTTCTCTATTAAATAGCTCACACGGTCCTTATCATCCAATTTAGTTCAATGAACTTAGGAACCCCTGCGTTTATTTCCATAACTTTGCCCTAAATTTCAAGCAGCAAATGATGCAATGGGAGAGAGGGGGATGAGGCACATTAGGCCTCCTCCAACACCCTACCCTCAGTTGCCTTGTGGCAGGTTGGTAGAAGGTACTTTGGTCAAAGCTGGAGCAGAAGTAGTCAAAGTCCCTAATCATTCCAACCAGTCAAACTTTTCCAGGGTGATAGACCTTGTAGAGGTCTTGTAAAGATCCCTCCATCAGCAGTCAAGCAGTTTCCTCTCCATTGTTTCTTCCTGTATAAGATCTACCTACACACATTGGGAAATAAGAATCCAATAATCCGAAGAATGGGTATTTCAAATGAGTTCTGACTGCAAAACAAAATCTCCAGGTTCTGCTGGTCCTGCCTCTTTGCCATATCCAAGAGGACTACTCTACTCTGAAAAGACCTCAAGACTCAGCTACCTGTCATTAATGGGAGGCCCTTAGCAAGTCAAAGCAGGAAAAAGGAGGAAAAGGGAAGAAAAAGGAAAAAAGAGAGAGAGAGATCTCAAAAGACGCAGTCTCCCAGCTCTTGAGCGACCCAGGACAGACACAGACCTGGAAGAGATGAACTCTTCCAGGCACCCCGCCTTGGAGACCCACAGCCCCAGGCCTCTCGCTCCTCCGCCATCCCAGGGGCCGAGGGCGCTCGCCGCAGGCGGGCGTAACCGCTGCAGGGGCGGAGACAGGGAGGTGGCCCGCGCTCACCTTGCCGTCGCTCTTCCTCCGGATCTTCTGGCAGCGGCCATAGGAGCCCGTGCCAATGGTGTACAACACCTCGTAGTCCTCCGCCCGAGTGGGCATGGCCCGGCCCGCCGCAGGTCTCCTGCAGGTCGCTCCGCCGGCTCGGAGACCCCTCCGAGCCACACTACCTATCTAGCCGTTCCAGTCTCCAGCCCGGTTTAACCGACGCGGGCCCTGGCCTGGCAGCCTATTGGCCCGCGGTGAGGTCGCTTCGCCTCTCTGATTGGTTGAAAGAGCACAACATCCTAGGCATCTTGGGAAAGGCGTATCGCTAGGCAACCGCGTCGGCGTCGCTGTCGGCGTCGGCTTCCCCCCCCACGCCCCGCCCCGCCCCGCCCCGCCCCGCCCCGCGCCCTCGTCTGGAGAAAGGGGTGGAGCTAAACCAAAGGGAGGCGGGGGATAGAAAGCGGGTGTAGGCGGGTCTCCCAAGTCTGTCCCTCCCGCAGAGGTCGCCAAGGTAATCGAAGTCCGGAGACCTCTCCTTGGACTTCTTTGCATGCTGCCGCCACCAGCTACCTTCTGACATTTGCACTCTGACCCCTCACAATACCCACACTCTTCTGCCCACGCCCTCCTCTTAGGTTCCTGAACGCTGAGACTCGGCGGGGTCACACTGAAGACGTGCTGGGATGCAAAGTACAGAACCTCTACTAAAGATGCGTGAACGAGTGCAGACCATGGTTGGGGACTGTGCCAAGCACTTTACATGTGTTGTCTCATTTATTCCTCAACACAAACCTATAATGCAGGAATTGGTGTTCTTTCCCATGAGGAAACAGAAGCACAGAAGAGTTAGATTATTTGCTTCAGGTCCAACAGCCAGGAAGAGAAGAATCAATTTGAAAACAGCAGATATTCATAGAAATGATTTAAAGCTTACACAGGACTTTAGAGTGTAGTCATCATAGAGAGACTATATTTTTGAACACTACATTTAGAGTCCTGTTTAACATGCACAGGATGTATGCAAAACCTCAGTGTAGAATATTCCTTGATATTTTGGAACACCCAGGAGAATATGGTGGCTCTATGGCAGAGACAGTCAGGTTTACCTTTAAGATTCCTACAAAAAAATTTTTATTAGAAAAGACTACCACATAGGTTATTTGGGGTGCCAAACACATAATTAATTGACAATACTTCATAAGATACAGCTTCTTCTGGGTGCGTAGGTCACCTACTCAGATCAAAGAGTCCCATTTTTACCTGGGAGAGGGGGCCAGCCCTAGATGGAGGAATAGTTCATTACCAGAAGGCTAGTAGTTTGGCAGCGCATAAGTAGGTCAATTTTCTTTAAATATCTGTTCAGCATGGAGTTGAAAGGGATTTTCTATTAATAAGAATTACAAACCTCTTTATGTTAAAAATAAGGAATTTCTTACATGCACTGAATATAGCATAATTGGAATTGCCAGCCAGAAGCATTTTTAAAATAACATTCAAGGACACTGTCTTACTTCAAGGGAATAGGACCAATTTAGGTTTCAAAAGTTATATAAGGAGCTACAAGTGTCTGAGTTAATTGGCATTGTATTTTTTTATTTTAGTACTTCTTCAAGAGTGACATCCATGGGGCTCTTTGGCTGGCCTTCCTCCAGTCTAGTCCTGCACCTTCTCTCTGGCCACTCTTCTGCTCTCATGCTTTGCCCCAGTTCCCCAAACCTGGCACACTTTCTCAGCCTGCCCCCCCATCACTTTTGTATCTGTTACTCTATTTGCCTGGCATACTGTTCACTCTACTCCCTTAACCACTCCCTCACCCCCCATGTCTGTCCAGAAGACACAACTTGTCTTTCAATACTCAATGCCAACTTTCTTTCCTATACCCTAGAAGCCTCTTCTAGCACGCTAAAACAAGCAATTTTTCCATCTACAGTGTTCACAGACCACCTTGTACATAAATCAACACTTCCCTTGTTATTTATTATTATTCATTTACATGGGTCTGGCAGTAGCTCAGCTCCAAGCTCCTTGCAGCCAACATAGGTCCTGTAAAAGGAGGCATGCAATAAATTTTTGTTAAATGGAAGTATGAGAAAGTAGCTTATTACTAATCATGCAAGGATTTGGAATGAGCCCTGAAGTATTCATGTTTCAAATGCCCCAGCCCTGTGGCAGAGCATATTGGGGGATGGCCATCCCAGGAGTATGGAGAGTGATGTCTAGACACATATGTTCATTCAACAAATATTTATTGAGCACTTCCTAGGTGCCAGGTGTGATGACAGGCATTGATATGCTAGATGTTCATTAGAGAAGAGACAGGGGAGCCGTGATCACAGTGATGAAGAAAAAAGTGACATAGGCATGGCATAACAAACCCTAACAACTGGCCAGAGTTAGCCCATACCATTGGGTGGGAGTAAGGGGCAGGACAGCCCAGCAGAGCCCACTGGAGGCAGAGAAGCATGTGGAGGCCAATCAGGAACACTTTACAGGAAACACCCCCTCCCCCTTCACTTCCTCTCTCCTTCACTTCCTCGCTCCTTCCTCCACTTCCTCTCTCCTTCCTCCATTTTCCACCAATTTTTTAAGACCGGTTGCACCCGGTTTCCTCCCTGGAAATTTCCAACTGCCTTCAACCCACGGTGGTCTCCTAAAAGAGGAATTAACTGTGTTTTTTACTCATTCAGAATATGCCATATACTAGTCTGTATCACTAGCTTCTCATGCATATCTATCTTCTCTGACCTATTACAACAAAAACTCTCATCCTTCAACAAATATAAACTGAGATCCTGCCAGGTGCCGAAGATACCCCTGTGAGTAGGACTCCCATGGGGCCCTGCAGGTGGAGGAGGGAGATGTACTCGTGTGCCTCGTGTACAGAGAAACTCAACCGTTACAAATTGTGGTCAGAACTAAGAAAATAGAGAACTGAGACAGAAGCCAAGATAACATTTAACAGAGAACTAAGAGCTGAGCAGTCCCATGAGAAAGGGGCCAAGGCTTGAACTTCTCACTCACACCCAGGGTCCAATTCACTGTCTTCACAGTCTTCTTGCTCATGTGGTCAGTTTTAACTAAAATGTGGTGAAATCCCAAATAAAGAGATTATCTGCACTATGTGTGTTCTGCTCACAAGTGCTCTGCAGGGTTCTCAGACACACCAACTAATTTTGAAGAGAAGCTCGTTGGAAGACTAGTGGGTAACTTAACATGTTCACAATCGAGCTCCTGATCTTTGCCCCAAATGTGTTTGTTCTACTCCCTGTCTTCTTTGTCTTAAGTAACTAATGAATAGGATTTTGTTGCTGTCTCTTTTGTTCACTGCTGTATCTCCAGCTCTTAAAACGTACCTGGAACATAAGTGGGCACTCCACTGGCATTTGTACATTGAATGAATGAATGAATGAATGAATGGAGGGAGGGAGGAACAAATGAAGGGACAAACAAAAGAACAAAGCCATACCTCAATGCCCTCAGCTTCCCTTTTAATGTTACATGAAAGACCCACTAGAGGGCTGTAAATCACTGTATAGTAAATGAGGAGAGTCCATCATGCACACCCGTCCACCTGCAGGGGCCTGTCCTGACAGGAAACTGAGATTTGCATATTAACATTTCAAACCTCAGACAAATGCTTTGTGTGTCTTCTTTCCACAATTCCCAGGAGCAATCTGAAGTCAGGGATTATGGAAATTCTTTAAAGGGCTTAATAAAGGTTTCTAGAAAGAAGAAAAAAAGGAGAGATCCTTTGTTTATAAAAATCAGAAGCTAAAATATGTTTCTGAAAAAATGTGCATGACATCGTATGTGCTGAGTAGATAACCATGTTCTAGAAAAAAAGAATGAGGTGTTATGGAGACTGGCCCTAATAGTGACACACTATTTCATATAAACAGAAGGGCAAGATGCAAGCTAAGAGACAGCTTTGGATTTAACATCAGTCAGCGAGGGAAGAATATGATGAGAAGCAGTTCATCTTTGAAAACCAAATAGTGTTTAGTTCTGAGCTCTACCACATTTCAAAGAGGGAGAGTGTATCCAAGGCTGACTTGTGTTCAATACAAACTTTCCGACAGAGAGCCATTCACAAATTTTACATGATTTTTCATGATACTTGTAAATTAAGGATATCCGTTATCTCTGAGAATATTGAGAATGTAAATTGGTAAAAAAGAATGTTAAAACTAATCTCAGATGCTGAAGCCATAACATGTTTCTAAAGGACTTCAGCAGCTTCTAGAGAGCACTCCCGATTCTCCCTTCAGGAGGCAGCAGAGTGAAAGTGTAGAAGCAGGGGGTTTGATGTCTAGAAGCCCCTTTCGGTTTTGCTGAGCTGTGTCATCCAGGGAATCCGTTCCACCTCTCTGGGCCCTATAAAATGAGAGCGCGAAATTAGATGACCTTAAATGACCCTTCCAGCTCGACACGTTATGATTCTATCTCACTTTCCAGAACATTCACCGGAACTGCTGTCAGAGCCAGAACACTGGGCTATTGAGCTCTTGGTTTGACCCCAGGTGACAGTTTTTATTAAGTAGCTATGTCTGCATTAGATTTTGCAACATCCCCTCTCTTCTTTCTTTACCTTTACCAGCCATACTGATTGAACGACAGACACAGTGAGAGGCCCCCCTGGAAACGTGAGACAGGTGTAAATCAGCTATCCCTACGCAGTGTGATCATCATGCTCCAGAGAGCTTTCCCTAAATGTTCTGGGAGCCCAGGAGGAGGAGCCCGGATCTGGTGAGGATGGCAGGGAGTGCCAGTCAGGGCGAATGTTCCCAGAAAGGTGGCATTTGAACTACATCTAAAGGACAAGTGGGAATTATGAGGAAAGGAACTGTGGGTAAAAGCAGGGAGGTGAAGGATGGGCTGCAGGTGGTTACCTTGTGAAACAGGTGGTCAGACAGGTGAGCAGGATGACCTGAGGGCGGAGGCAGTTTTCTGCTGGCGTCCCCCGTGGAGGCTTTGAGCAGACGCTCATTACCAGAATGTGCTCTAGGAGGGTCACTCTGGGAACAGTGTGGGGAATGAACGTGGGGACGGGAATGCAGGTAGTAAAACCCAGGGGGTAACGATAACAACGGAACTGAAGGAGTGGCTGTGGGAACAGAGAAGATGGGGGGGTGCCCAGACCCATCTGGGAGGTAGATCAGACGAGGCACAGCCATCAGTTGTGTGTATGTACGGGAGGAATGAGGACAACTCCCAGCT